AGCTGCCTGATCCAGGTGAAACTCAACAGAGAGAAGACTAGCATGCGATGTCACTGCAAACATACGGGGGAGCAAAGGAACAAAGGGACTCAGAGTCCCGCAAAGGCAGGCTGTGCGGAGGAAAGTTCAGTGTCTAGGATCCCTTTCTGCTTCAGAACATTGTGGGTGTCTGCTGTTTTACGGGACTGTGAGAAGCAAGGCATGAGAGATATTTCAGCCAATACAAACTCATGAGAATTAGAACTGTCCACTGTTATTGCAGATGTGCGGGTACTGAGAGTTATTATGTGCTGCTCTATTCTAACAGAGCATATTGTATTGTACAGGTTAGTATAGATTCAGCATGGCCACAGGTTTATACTGATATCCCTGGGGATAATCTCACTGAACTTTCCAGATTTGCTTTGCCCTGGCAACTCAGCTCCCTTGAGAATGTAGAGTGAATTTTAAATGAAACTATGAAAGGGTCAGACCAGGGTGGGCAGGCGGTCCATAGTCTGTGGAAGCGATTCCAGTCTTTCAAAGAGAAGTAGCTGTTATGAGTTAAGTAGCGTCCTCCTGGAATATACTTCAATGCTAAGTGTATTTCTGTGATTAATTGTTCTGTTCTTCAGGATTTAAAAACTTGCCTCTTGAGGACCAAATTACCCTAATCCAGTATTCTTGGATGTGTCTATCATCATTTGCCTTGAGTTGGAGATCGTACAAACATACGAACAGCCAATTTCTCTATTTTGCACCAGACCTAGTCTTTAATGAGTAAGTACCTATTAATTAGCCTTCATAAAATAAACTGAAGAGTTATTTGTTTTGCATTTTAAATAATTTCTAAACAGATGAACGTTTGTGAAAAAATCAGATATTGGCATTCTTTTAATAGTTTTTTAAAATCCATGGTTTAAGAAGTCAAAAAACACTCATCACAAAATTTAGGGCACAGAGTACATAAAAATCTGTGTGTGTGTGTGTGTGAGAGAGAGAGAGAGAAAGAGAGAAAAGAAATATGATCCAGTTGGCTCTCAGACTCGATGGATGCACCGCCACAATTAATAGAAAGCAGTCCCTCTCGGTATCCCCTCCACTGGGGAAACTATACCATTTCTAGGAAGTGTAATGTACAAAGTGCCAGTTTTCACAAGCGTTCATACAATGCTTCTTTTGTTAACTGTATATAACTGTTCAATGTGTTTTCACGACAATCATAATTACCCTTCTTTGCAATCAAATGGGCAGCCAAAATGTTATTCTGTAGTGAAGCATTTTTAGTTTTATGATGCATTTAAACAAGACTGAACTAATTGAAATGGATTTTCTTTGGTCATGAATCCTTTCCTATTCTAAGTTTACATTTTAGCACTGTTTCTGTTAACTGTCAGCACATTCATGTTGCATGCAGTGGTGGCCCTCTGACTGCTGGGTCAAGGAATGGCTAAGAGCATTGTGCACTATGATAGAAACGAGAGCCGTAATCTACCACGTGGTGCTCTCTGGAGATAAAAAAGTAGAAGGCTCGACAGGAAAGGAGCAGATGAGAAATAGATTGGTGATAGCAAGAAAAGCAAAGCAAAAACTTAAAAGCAGGCATATCGTGCCAAGAAACCTAGAGTCACCAGTAGTAATCTACCTAAGAATTCCAGCTCACCCACAGTTTGATTCCAAAGTTACATTAAGAATATCAGGTGTTGGTCCTTGAAATATTTCTATCTTGGTAATTTTACACACACAAAAATGATAGTCCTACATGTGTTTTCACCATAAGTTTGCAGTGACCAAACGATTGATAGGCACATTTTAACTTATTTCTTTCCCTCCCCAAATCAGTTGAAATTATGAAATAAGCCTGTTTTAGGATAAGTTCTATAAAATAAATCCTATAAAAGAGAACAATTAAGGATGGTCTTCATTTTTAAAAGATGTGTGTAAAAATCATATTGTGTGCTCACCTCCCTGACACAATCGCTGAAGACAAATGGGTGCATAAGCAAATGTGGTGAATAAAGCTGATGGTGCCCAGCTATCAAAAGATATAGCATCTGAGGTCTTAAAGGCTTGAAGGTAAGCAATCGGCCATCTAGCTCAGAAGCAACAAAGCCCACATGGAAGAAGCACACCAG